GTCGTCGTTGTTGTTGTTGTTGGTTGTTGTCGGCTTTGGTGTTTTTGTTGTTCGAAGATAAGTATTTAGGGGTCCGGGCATTCCGCGGTGTAGGACTTCCGGGCTTCTGCTTTTGCTTTCGGGGTTTTAAACTTTAAAGCTTTTGGGGTTTTGGATCGTGGTGGGGTCCCAATTCATCCAAGAATCCCATTGCTGGGGTCCGCGCGGAACCAGGCAGAGAAATCTTCTTGAAAGACATCTGGTAAGCCAAACAAAGGTCTTCGGCACACGCACGGCAGACAGTTCAAAATGCGAAGCCGTAGTATCTCGTAAACGCCATCCCTAAAGTAGTTACTCAGCAGTTGTGGGAAAATTGGGGATAGGGGTGATAGGGGTGTGCTTGGCGGGGGTCATGGCCGTCTAAACACTTCTCCGAATACATACAAACTCTGTGAGGCTCTCATGAAAGAAACTTCTGCAAACATCTTGTGCCGCCAGACTAATGCCCAGCAAAGCCATGCACGATGTCTCATGAAGGGATTCTGGACCTTTGGGTTTACGGGTTCGGCGTTGACCACAGATACCGATTAGATGTAAACCAAAGGACGCTGAATTGTCGGTCTGCTTGTCGTTTTGTAGTTTGGAAACCCCAACCTCCTGAATCAAGGACACGCCTATTCCAGAAACTGCGGTGTATAATGCTTCGACACGGAGAAACAATAACATCCACAACATTGCCATCACACCAAGGTCGGCATAGCGACAGCAGAAGGAAGAATAGCAGATGATTGATGCTGGGGCCAGAAATAGCAGGAGGCGACTGCAAAGGGAAGGAGGAGAAGCAAAAGACTGTGAAAGCGCAAGCAGCAGCAACAGCAGCAGCAGCAGCAGCAGCAGCATGAGCATGGTGATCAGCAGCTATGCTGGTGGTCGTCGTCGTCTTCGTCGGAGTTGCTGTTCCTGTTGCCGTTGTTGTCCTGACTGTTGTTGGTGTTGGTGTTGTCGGTGGCGGCGGTGGTAGTGGTGGTATTGGTGGTATTGCCGTTGCCGTTGCAGTTATGATTGCTGATGTTGGTGCTGGTGCTGCTGTTGCTGTTGCTGTGGCTGCTTTTGTTGTTGTTGCGGTGGAAGTGGTGGTGGTGGTGGTGGTGGTGGTGGTGGATGTAGCGAAAGTCTTTGTAGTCGTCGTCGCAGTGACAGAAGAAGTTGAACAGGCAGAAGGCACACATGCTGTCGTGAGCATGAGTGATGGCAGTAGGATTATCAGCAACACCTGCGTCACTAGCAGCAATAGTCGCACAAAGACCTTGGGCCAATTGAGGCCCGATGTTGCACCCTTCAGCTGAAGCCGCTCTCCCGTGATGTTGATAATGCCGCTTCGGGAATTCGAAGTGATGGTCAGGCCGCGCCTGTAGCGAGAGGGAGTTGTTCACAAGATACAATGGCTTAGGGCAACGGTGGACAGCAAACCAACAGTAGCAAGGTGAATATCACGAAAAACAGATCGAACACTGAGCAGACAGGGCCCAGCCGCAGAAATACTGCTTGTAATGCCAAACATGCCACACTCATACTTTGCGCCTGAACTGATTCGACTGGCAAGACTTGTTCGTGGAAACGAGCTTAATAACCTTCTGGTATTGCCTTCGTGCAATAAGGGCGTTTAGTCTTGCCAAAAGCAGCGCGCCGCTACAAGTTACAAGTGCTTTGAACGAGCTGAGGCTGAACACATGATATACACACCGTACTCATCATCTACCTGTAACGGAAAAGGCCTACCTCTTTAGGGTTCCTTATTATGGTTTCTATACATAATTCCTGGAAAAGGGTAGGTCTTTTCGGCTACAGGTAAACCCTAAACCCTAATACCCCTTGTACGAACTAAGATCGGGCACGCTGCTCTACCTTGGATCCTGAAGAGGCTGTGGCCTGCAATCGTCAGGCGAGATCCAACAACCTGAAGCCCTCGCTTCCGCGGTGTTGGGGCTTCAAGGGTTTAGGGTTTTGGGCTTTGGCGTTTAGGGTGTTTGGGGTGTTGGGTTGAAGGGTTAAGGGTGGTTTTTGCCTCCCACCTAGCTAGGACGAGCCCGCATTGGATGGTTTAAGGGTGGTTTCGGCGGTTTAGGGTTTAAGGGTTTAGGATTCAGGGGTTTCGGGTGGTTTTGGTTCTGGGGAACTAGCCAAGAAGCAAGACATTGATGGTGCCACCGGATATCGAGACCCGCTTCGAGCAATTGCTTTCGCAGTCATTGAGGAGAATCCTGGCGTCAGTGAGCCGATCATGCAGCCGCTTAATCACTAAAGCCCGTCTCTCCTTAAGAGCTTTCTGTTCTAGAGTACAACTAATTGCTGAAGGACGGAACGTTCTGTGAATCACGGGCCCACATCAGCCCCAAACCTTCTAAGCCACATGTCTTTGCTAGCAAGCATTGGGTTTCGATGGATACAAGATTAATGTGGCTAGTAAAGTAATTAATTACAAGTGTGACTGGGCTTTGCGGCCTGTTGGCTTAAAATGGCCATGCAAAATTGCTTTGCGCGGGGTTGCTGGGCCTCCAACTGCAGGGTCAGAGGGTTTGGCGACGGGTTGCTTCTGGTTCAGAGCTTGAAGCCTCAAGAATTGCTTTAGTGTTGAATTAAGATAGGGTTTAGGGATCGATTAAGGTCCTAAGGTTTTATTGACCCTCAGGACCCTGGAATTTAAAAGGCCTGCAAGAGGAAATCATACTAAGGAGCCCGGCGAAGGCAGTTCTGGGAAATTTTTAGGGTCCAGGGAAAGCCGCAACACTGCACTCGACATCTTTACTCATGGCCTGAAGGGTTTCGAGTTTGGGGTTGAGGGTCATTCGTCTGCTGAAATGATTATCTACGGCTAGCACTACCAAAAGCATTTTTATAGCAACAGTATCCCAACTTCCCCTTATAGCCGTTAGATACGCAAAGCCATACTTACTATTTCACAGGGTTGATCGGGGACCCCAATGCGGAGGGGACCCCTGTGGGTTGCAGTTTGCCAATGGCGCCCCATGGGGCCCAGTAAAGCCTAATTAATGGGGGCTGGCAAGAAGCCTTAAAAGCCTAAGCACCTAGTCAGAAACCCTAAACCCTGATTCAGTAAGAAAACCTAAACTCTAACCCCGTGGAAAGAAACCTGTAACCCTCAACCCTTAGTACAAAACCCTAGGCCCCAAACCCTTAGCTAAAGAAGCACTTGCAACCCGAAATCTAAGCCCGGACACAAGAACTCCAAGCTGAGGAAATCACCCAGAGCAGCCGGGAGGCCTAATCCACTGGGCATCCAAATGGCAACCGTCACACACAAATCCTGAGTAGGTTTCGGGTGGTATGGGGGTTTCCGAAAATTAGGGTGCCTTTTTTGGGGTCCTTATAATAAGGATCCTGCTATTTAGGGTGCTGCATTAGGGTCCCCTATTTTCGGAAACTCACGTATGATTTCGGCAACATGTATATGTGGGCATTTTCAGATAATCTGGTTCAAGCTGCATACATAAAACTAGGTCTCGACGATGTGAACCGTCGCCGGCACGGTACATTTCCACAACACTCCGAACCCTTGACAGAAGCCGGGGACCATGGATTTGCAGCTCGGTTTAGGGTTTAGGGTTTAGTACAAATTGGAAATAGCAAGCCTAGCAAAATGCTAACATAAGAACGGGGGGCTCTAAACCCTGAACGGTCGCGCAGCTGTTGGTCCCAAGACTGGCCCCCCCTTAAACCCTAAAACCTGAACCCTATAGAACTTAAACCCTAAACCCTTAAACCCAAGACCACACCGGATCCAAATTTCCTTGGAGGGGTTTAGGAGTTTAGGGTTTAGGGCTTGCAGCCAGAGTTTCCACCAGTCGAAATTTTCACATTCACGCCGCTTGTCGCACGCAGCCTCTCAAGAACAAAGGATTTGGGAGGACCTGCTAGGGTTTAGGGTGTACCTGGACCCCAAAAGTATGTAGAATAATAGCCTTTTATGGGTTTTGGGCCATTATTTTACCTACTTTTGGGGGTTTAGGTAGGGTTTAGGGTTTGGGGTTTAGGCGTTCTTTTGACTTGATAAGTACGGTTCTGACTTATGAATGGTGAATTTCAGGGCAAATCATGGGCCCAAAGCTCCTAAACCCTCAACTCTACACCCCGAACCCTAAATGCCAAGCCGTAAACCCTTTAGGGATTTAGGGGTTTAGGGTTTAGGCCTAAAGCTGTCATTTTTGACTTCTGGAGGCTCCAAGTGGACCTGTCTCTGGGTGGGGCGCTCAGGGCTTGAGGGCTTTACAGCTCCAGGGGTTGGGGTTTAGGGTCTACCTGTAACCGAAAAGACCTACCTTCCTTATTATGGTTTCTGTATATATTAATTCCTTAAAAAGGGTAGGTCTTTTCGGCTACA